ATTTCCTCCTTGGTTTACTTCCAGAACWWAAAAWTTGTCAGTCGTTGTCCATGGGATCAATCCATTTGGRGTTGATCATCCAGTTTCTCAAGTAGGTGTATGGATATCCATATATGTCTGTTGAGGATTGATATCAAGAATTGTGGAAAGAATTGAGTTGGAAAATTTGGTGGAGGAACCATACTGTGACACCTCRTAGTATTGCTTGTTAACAAGCCTTGTCACAAAGCAAAAATAAAGATGATTAGAAAGAATAGTGATGATAAGATGAATAAATTGTAATTCTTAAATCATTCTGCCATGGAGTCTGCATTGACATTGCTGTCCTGTTTGGCCTTGCTGTTATTGGTGTTTTGTTGTCCTCCTTATCCTCAATGTCCTCTTCTTCACTCTCATTCTCAGAGCTTCTAGATGTCAAGAGACAACAGCACCATCCTCCACCAATTCTTCTCAATGATTGTCATGATCATCATGATGATGATGATCATTGTCATGATCATCATCATTGTTGTCATTGTAATGATCATTGTAATGATCATGATCATGATCATGATCATGATCATCATCATCATGATCATCATCATCATCATCATCATCATCATGATCATCATCATGATCATCATGATCATCATGATCATCATCATGATCATCATGATCATCATGATCATCATCTCATCATCATGATCATGATCATCATCATCATGATCATCATCATCATGATCATCATCATGATCATCATCATCATCATCATGATCATCATCATCATCATCATCATCATCATCATCATCATCATCGTCATCATCATCATTGGTGCTCTCTTGACCGCACTCCATGAAGACATTGAGGATATGATTAATACCTTGCCTGGTAGTTGTACAAAAGGATTACAAGGTTCATCATGATGATCTTGTTTCTTTCACCAAAATCTTCCAGTCTGACCCCATCCTTGGGAGCCTTGGGAAGCCTCCCCTTRTCATCCTCATGCCCCATTCAGACAGCTCTCTCAGCAACGTCCTTTGACTACTAGTACTCAAGGAAATATCAGGACTCACCTCATTAATAGCAAAATTTTGCTTGCTTTGAATGGCTGGAAGAGGTTCAAGAAGGAGGAGTAAGTATGCTATCTAAGGAGTGCAATGCTTGGTGTTCTGTGGCCCCTTCTGTGCCTCTGTTATAGTCTCCTGCCTCTATCCTCTTCTTCCTGCTCTGTAATCTTGGCCCGCCAAGCCAAGATGATACAGTCTCAATTACAATTCGTTTTTTGACATAGTTCCAGAGTGCCCATTTTGCTGTTTAGTGTAAATATTGGGCAATAAGAGGAGAGGATATTGATGGATACTGGCAAGTTTTTTCTTCCAAAGAGTTGTATGTTGTAGTTAATAGTGCACTGTTTTTCTTCTTTCTCAAGACATAAACAACAAATCCAACAAAATGGGGGGAACCACCATGGGGGGAGGAAGCAGCAGTCAAATTTTGGTTAGTTTATTTTAAATTCTATTTTCCAATATCTTTTGTGCAGGGAACAAATCTAGGCCCCCAAAATTTCATTCCCATAGACCCAGAAACCTAAACTACTAGGATCAAGGCTTCTGGGTTTTAGGCATTACCCAATAACCATGTTTTAGTGTGGGTTGTTGTATCAAGAAAAAGTTTTGTACCCCAAAATACAGAATTAAAAATGGGGCTTGGGGCAATTTAAAAATTGCTAAAAACTACATCAGTAGTCATACCCCACAGAACCCTTTTTTGCCAAAGAAATACTTCTACAAAGAAAAGTTCTGAAATATCCAAGTGACTCTAGAGTCATACTAGTATGCCTTAAGAACTTTTGCTTGTACAACATGTACTAGGTTCTACAGCGCTAATTTTTTGAAATGACTCAATGACATTCATGATTGAAAGGCAGGATTCATATTTTTCAAAACATTTTTTTTCAAACGCACAAAGTACACTTTGCTCCTGAAAATTATCACCTACAGTAGATTTCCTATTGATTCCAACATTGTACCACATACCTCTGACATCCAAACCACCATGGTGACACCCCCTTCTGAAGGGGAAAATCCTCCTCCCTTGCCTTGATTAAAGAAAGAACAGCACTCTTTCTTAGACAATATGCTTGATTACTACCCTGTCCCCAGCTATAGGCAGCCTGCCTCAACTGGATCCATCCTCCCCACTTCTTATTGACTGGAAGCAGTGTTTTCTGGTCAGAATGTTGTTATTTMTGACATTCATGAACAACAACAACATCAACTCCAGCCCCTAGTATTCAACTAAGACTTTTCTTTTGAAGAACAACACCTGGAGTATATGCTACATTACTTAGTTTGAGAAGAGGATTCACCACCAGCTTAGCTCCACGTGCCAGTTGTTCCTGTATTTACAGACCAGAAGAAGATTCTAGTCACAATGTTGATGTTTCTGACATTTGTGTTGGACAGCAGTTACAACAACCCCAGCCTCCAGCATTCCCCTTAAAGAACAATGCCTGGAGTATATGCTATGTACTCAGTTTAAAGCAGATTCCTCAGCATCTTCATGCAGTTCCAGTAATATTTATGGACCAGAAGCAGTGTTTTCTTCTGGTCATGATGTTGTTATTGTTTCCAACATTTGTGTTGCACAGCACCAAAGACAACACCAATAATCCAACCAAGATGATCCTGATGAGATCAGCAGCATTCCCACCACCCCTGTTCTTACTCACTGGAAGCACCAGTGTCTTCTGGCCAAGAAGTTGTTGTTTCTGACATTTCCACCCCAGTATCTAGATCTCATCAATCTATTCCTGGTTCTCCTCTTCTCCAAGAAGGGGCTTTGCAAACCTCCACAAATATCCTCAGCACAGCCATTACCTAGTTGTGGGTCCAACTACACCAAGACCAAGTCAGTTTGCCAAGTGATCTTTTTCTTTTTGGCTTTTGTACACTGTGAGTGAGTTTGCCTTCTTATTTGGCTTGGCAGTGTGCTTGGCACTCATTTCCTTTATCACTGCAGGAAGACTTGCCTTCTGGCTTGGCAGTGAATTTTGAGATGATAATGGCATGGCTCTTGTCCATCTGGCAAGACCAATTGTTATGAAATACATAGTAAAGATGCAAGAAACTAATAATCCTTTCAATACTACACATAAAACAACAATTGAAATYATGTTAATCGAGGCATTGCAAACATCAATTTGACATCCAAAATGTAARTTGATCATTCAAAGCATTCTTGACCCTGCAATGAGCTTGTGTAGACATGAATACTGTGGTTTCTGTTTGGATTTAGCACACAKTAACATTCATAGTGTCAGCAGGCAAGGATGTCCTTCTTCCTCAGTTTTAGATCCCTTCTTCCTTTTTGAAAAAGGATGTGCAAGACCCAAATAACTGTTTTGGGAAAGTAACACTAGTACCATATTGAAGAATGTGGAATATAGTATTGGGATACCAGGATCTATGCTACAATGATACTAACATTTCAAATGCAAAATTAACATTCAGAACAAATATTCCCAATGCCTCAATTAATAATTTTCAATAGTATGCATTGTAGATCAATTGAAATTATGTCATTTGCGTTCCCAATGTCAGACTGCATGTCCCCAATGTCAGACTTAAGTTTGGAATGTTAGTATATCACTGTAGTCCTACATAGATCCTGGTGGTACAATCCCCATTCTTCATTTGGTAGTGTTCTTCATYTGATGGCACCCACCAAAAAACTGCAGTACACATTTCTACAAAGGCCTACAGTGCTAATATTTGGAATCTTAAGTTAGCATTTAGAATGCCCTGTGAAATGTAATTGCAATTGATCTGCAATGCATAGTACCACTAGTTGTTTTGAATTTAGTGACCCATCAGTCCAAAACATGTTGCTGTACTACTTGTACCTCATTTGCATTGTTGCAGTTACTACTATGCATTGCACATCAATTGAAATTATGTTTCAAAGGGCATTCCAAATGTTAGAATTAACGTTCCCAATTTCAGATTTAATGTTTGGAATGTTAGTATATCCTCACCAGCACTGTACTAAGCCTAAATAGATCCTAGTACTAGTAGCTTGTATCATTATCCCTTTTCTTCATTTGGTGGCACACCAGCAGCATCCAAAAACCAATAATATTGGTCTTGTTTCCTAAAAAGAGGAAGAAGAGGATGCCTATCCTGCTAGTAACATTCAGAATGTTAATTAAGCAAAAAACTGTAGTGGTCATTTCTACAAAGGCCTAGTATGGTACTGACATTCAGAATGTCAAGTTAACATTTAGATTGCCCTGTGAAATGTACTACTAATTTTGATTGATGTGCAATGCATAGAACTGTACTACTCATATTCTTCTTTTTTGTTCCTTCTTTCACCGGTATAGTTTGTTGGAGGACAAAAATTCATCATTCTTATCGTATTGGCTACTATGGTGCACTGCACTGCACTATCTCTATCTTTAGTGTGCCTAGCCAGTAACTTTGAAGAATTCTGACTGCCCTGGACTTACCGAGGAAACAAAAAGGAACTTTTTTAGTGTAGATTTGTACAAACCCCGGTATATTAATTTTTGCAAATAAATTAGTACCTTTACCAAAATAAATTACTACGCGTTTCATAACAATTGAAACCGGCCTCAAAAGAGAGCAAAAAGTAATAATTTCAAGTTCTTCTTAACTTCGATTTGAAGTTATGAACTTCAAATGTCCTGGTTGAAAGTCTATGAGGTTCTACTGAGCTAGTTTTTGGATGGCATTCATGATTAATTCATGATTGAATCAGCTCAAACCATTTTTAATCGCCCTGAACCATTTTTTTGAGGGGCCCCGGGAATCCATTCAGCCATTCAGCAGTCATTTTAAAAAACTAGCTCAGTAGAACCTCGTACATGATGTACGAGCAAAAGTTCATAACTTCAAATTGAAGTTAAGAACTTGAAATTATTACTTTTTGCTTTATTTCGAGGCCGGTTTCAATTGTTACGAAACGCGTAGTATTCATTTTTAACTTAAACATTCAGTCATTATTGTGACAACAAGTCATTCTACTAGCAATAACCTAGTTTTTGCACCGTAATAAGTTTTTTTGGTCGTCGTCCTTAAAAAAAGGCCGCAAGCAAGTGATATTGTATTGCGTTGTTCAGCTCACAGGAGGTCGCCAATACAGGAGTACCGGTACAGGGTTCGCCCTCTCTGGTCTTCAACAGTTCAAAAGAGTTATCTTCACGCTTATTGTACTACCATATTCAGCACTTGCACAACCATATTTTGTTATTCCTTCATCATTCATGTGCAAACGTTGAGGAAGAAAAAGTAATCCACCAACAATTCAAGATGCCTCGCAAGGAAAAGAAAGAGTCTGATTCTCGAGATGAACACGTCGAAGAAGAAGACGACGACGAATGCAAACCACCCGCACGTAAATCGAAAAAGAAAAAGAGAAAGAAGAAACCCGAAGACGACGCGGGCGACACCGCAGACGATGTAAGCAACACCAACGCCGATACAGAGGAAGCAACGGACTCGCCGGACAAAAAATCTTGGAGAGATAGGATCAAATTTCGTGGCAAGAAGGATCCTGGCGAGTTAGATAAGAAGGATAAAGACGAGTCGGAAGATGATGGCAAAGAGGAGGGCGCTCCCAAACAGAAATCTTGGAAGGATAGAATCAGCTTGCCGTTTGGGAAAAAGGACAAAGATGGCGACGATGGCGACGATGGCGACGACGAGAAAGATGAAGCAGATGCCATGTCTACTGCCCAGGAAACAGTTGACACCAAAACAACACAAGCCAAATTAAACAAGAGGACAATCGAAGATTTTGAAACCGAATATCACGATGCAATCCGAGATCACGATTGGGATTTAGTTGAGGGATTGTTGAAGGATTATGATGAGACGCTTTATAAAAAACAGAGAAAAGCACCCGGAGCGAAGAAAAAGAAAAATCTCAAACTTTTGAAGTATGTTCCGGATATGTCCAGATTTAAGAAAGAAGAAATAGAGCCAGAAATTCCCGTTACACCTCTCATGGCATTGGATCACGAGGGTAGAACGCCCCTGCATTTGTGTTGTCACGAACCAACGCCAGCCAAAGTATTGATCCGTCTCATGAATTGTTGTCGTGATGCCGCTGCCGTCAAGGATAAACAAGGACTCTTGCCTTTGCACATTGCTGTTGAAAATCGACGGGCGAATATTGTAATTGAACGATTGGTTCGAGGCTTCTATCAGGGTTCATGGATGGGTGATAATGATAATCGAACCCCTCTGAGCATAGCGGTCGATATAGCAGTTGAGAAGCAAATCGAACAGAACATCGTCCCCACAAAAACGTTCTGGGGGTTTCCGTCCTCTCCGGAGGACATCAAATGGCAAGAAGCACAAGAAAAAGTATGGAGTGTGGCCGCATTTTTAGTAAAGAATCGCTTTGATCGGCGGAAAAGATTGCTCACGGTAGAACACGATAAGATTTTTGTAGCGTTGAACAAATGTGCCCCACCAATGGTTGCTTCCAACTTCCTCGCTGCGGGAAGGAAACACATGGTAAAAACGGAGGTAGCTGGAAAATTGTTTTTTCTACTCATAAGTCGGCAGTATCCGATGTACATCTTCAATTGGTACCTTCAGGTGATCGCTATACCGTTCATCATGGAACAACAAGATTCCACGGGCTGCGGCGCAGTAGCCGCCCACTTTCGAGTCGGATGCATGAAGCACAAAGACCAAAGGACCAACCGTGAGAAGGATTCGTTTGCAACTACGATGAAAAAGCTTGCGTATGCAAAGCTTCACAAGAAAGATTTTGTAACGACACCACAATACTTGGAATGGTGGGAAAAACTCATAATGTTCATAAATCTCTGGGCGATACGTTTTTCAGAGAATGTAGCCGACGACACAATTTGTAAAGACAACAATGTTCTTCTGCACACCGCATTGATCAATCCAGATTCGCCGCCCCTGTTAATTCAGCTTCTTGCAAAATTATTTCCAGACTCGATCTTACATCGTCACCCCAAATCTACCGCTCTGCCAATACACATTGCATGTCGCCACTGGCAATTCCGAGATTATCCTCGTAGAAAGGGTGAGAAAATTGTCAGTATCAATCAAGTGTGTATGGAGTTGTTGAAAAAGGACCCAACGCAAACGCGAAAACGGTACCGGAATCGTTTGCCTCTGCACCACGCGATCGCTGTTTTCAAGCCATGGGAATTTATTGAGCCCCTTGTTGATCAGGACAAAGCGTCATTGCTCATTCGCGATCCAGTAACGTTGCTCCAGCCATTTCAAATGGCCGCATTGAAAATCCAAGAAACTTATGATATCGAAAACCTCACAAAACGTGGATTTACTCCTGTAGAATGGAAGAACATGTCTAGCGAAGAACAGGACCGTCAGATGAGAAAATTACTCTATGAGTATGATTTGAAACAACTCAACCTGATATATATGGTTTTGCGCCGTTCCCCCGATGCAGCAAAAAAAATGAAATCCTCCCAGGACACGTTGTCGGTATCAAAGACAAAAAATTCTAAAAAAGCCGATGAGTACCATGCGCAATTTCAGATTGTTGCGATGCTCGAAATGAAAATCGCCCGCAGTGTTTTTGGACTGGGGAACGTGGGAGGGCACTTCATAGGCTGGTGCTACGAAAGTAATGAAGAAGGTCTATGGAAAACACATCGAAGAAATTTTGCTATGGTAAAAGAGGCTATTATCGATGGTTTTGTACCTGGCGGCATGCAGAAGTGGTGGCAAAAGCTCAAATTCTGGCTTTGGCAAGATTGTCCGCGGGACAATATTCCTCGACGTGCCGATTTCTTGTTGCATTGCGCAGTTTGCAATCCGAATGTGTCGCCTTGGATCGTTGAACTGATTCTAGAATGCTTCCCTCGGTCGGCAACATTACCACTCCCCGACTCTGATGGATGTTATCCCCTACACATTGCTTGCACTACAGACACATACATACCCTTACCTTTTGAATTTCCAAACAAAAGGTGTATCATTGAGATGGTATCCAAAGCTTTTCGCGAGGCCATTCTGATGAAATGGAGGGACCGGCTGCCTCTTCATCATGCGATATTGGGCTCCAAACAATGGGAAGAAATGAGGTCCATGGTAGAAGATGAGCCAGTTTCGCTAGCAATCCCCGGGTCGGAAAGCGACCTTTTCCCATTTCAGCTGATGGCTCTCCATAAACAATACTCAAAATCAGAAATGAAGCAATTTCAGAAGATTGCTGAGGCGGAATTTAGGGAGAATTTTTCCGAGACGTATACTATCAGTGAAGACGAAAAGGCCGAACAATTGAACAAGGTAATTGAAAGGCACGAAAGGGAAACGATTGGATGTACTTTCGAATTGCTAAAGCACAACCCCATGCTTGTCCACGTCGGTCTGATCGATCGACAGAATCAAACAGAAGATAGCATAGCTTCTGGAAATTCCACTGTCGTTGACGATTGCTTGAATATGGATGTAGCCTTTTCGAATCTTAATTTTGACGAATCGATGTGACGTAGAAGTAATGTGAAGCAATGTGATGTGATTGGCCATACACTTTTCTTTGGGAAAGTATTTTCATTAATGTTACCGGTTGGATTTGATCGCATCTCCCTATTACATGATAATATGCGCTCCACCACAAGTGTGTTTACTTGAAATCTGTATGTAAATTCATAGCAATTTCTACCATGTAATATGACCAGAGGAGCCTCTGGTCTGGTGGTGTAGTTAGAGAAGCTGATTGCCTAATATTCTAGGAATCACCTTTGAGCTCCCTAGAGAATCCAGTGCTCAATTCCCATAACTCTCTGTTTACATTCTCTCCCGCACTCTCTCACATTCTTAGACCACTTCATCTTCAAGGTCAAAAAATTCAGGKWACCTAGAGCAACCCTTCAAAGATTCCTTTGTTATATGAGCCATATCATGATGATATTTTCTTATTGTTGTCAAGTATGGTACTAGTTCAACTACTATTACTAGTACTACTACTGCTAGTAGTAGTAGTAGTGTTACTATTAATACTACTAGTACTAGCAAGCAGCAATAGTTTGTTGTTGTTGTTGTTGTTGTTGATTGACGATGACAATGACGACGACGACGATGATGATGATGATGATGACGATGATGATGACGATGATGATGACGATGATGACAATGATAATGATGACGACTATGACAACGACGACGATGACGATGATGATGATGATGACGATGATGATGACGATGACGATGACGATGATGATGATGATGATGATGATGATGATGATGATGATGATGATGATGATGATGATGATGATGATGATGATGATGATGTCCACCACCAGTACTCCTATTCTCTTCTTCAGCCAGCATCCATTACTCCAAGGAAATCTTACAAGCCAGCAGCTTGACCTTTAGCTTATTTGTCCTCATCTTCAGTCTCATCATCAGCTCTTGATCTGCAGCAGCGGTCTCCTAATTGTGCTGCGGCTGGTGCTGGTGAAAAGCTTCATGATCCACATTCTTGTCCTCCTACCTAATGCTTGCATCCTCTTGTTCCTGCTTCTTGTTGGTGTTGAGCTGCCTCATGAGCAGAATCTTCATGTGATGATGCTGCTGAGAATGCACTTCCTCCTCCACCACCACCAGCACATCCTCTACTAATGCGTCTGAGTCCTCTGTCTCCTCCACTAATGTTGTTTGCTGCTGTGTTGAAGTGCTTAAATAATGAAGTTTTTCTTTGCACCTCAGAGGTGTATTCTTGCACTGTGTATGTACATTTGGAAGTGCAGGAAGGAATCAGCAGTTGAGAATGCACCAAAAAGGTTAATGAATCCAACCAGTATCAAGACCCGCATGCAGTTTCCATCGATTAATTTCAACACAAAAATAGTGCACTGTTCTTTCTGCATTGCTTTCAGTACATAGCRATTTTGTTGTCCGTAGGATATCAGACTGTGGGTATGATTCATACATACAATACATACATATGATACATATCTACGATTCATACACACCATACATATATGACTCACGCGATCCCATTGGATTCATACGATCGACCCCATTGGATTCATACGATCGACACGACTCATTTCATTCACTTGCGTGAGTGACTCGACTCATTCGATTCACACCTCACTCGATCCCCAYAGCGATCCATTCTAGATTTCATAGTTATCCTCGATAAGAGCATCGACTCACTTTTCTACTAGCACACACTTTATATCACTATTAGGACAGTCACTCCCACAGGTTATGAGCCCTGGGTAGTACGCGCGAATGTACGCGTGGGATTTATTTTTATTTTGTTGTGGGAATAAAAAAAATAGAAGCGGGTTTGTCGTCGCCGAATAAGTTTCGTTGATCGTAAAAAAATTGATGAAAGATTTCGAAAGTTTTGAGATGCGAGAAAAGGTCGTGAGCGGCGACAATGGCGATCGTTTCGAAATCRATAATTTCGAAGACGATGGCGTCGACAAGGCGTATGCGTTGTCGAAGGCAGTGTTAGTGACAATGCGTAGGCGTTGTCGAGGACGATGGCGGTGACGATTGCATGCGCCGTGGGGGTAGGGCCTATATCATAATACTGTTCTTGCAATGCGTTGGGGCAATTCATCTTCTAGTTCACGAGGCTAAACATATTATCAAGATATTTTTAAAAAAACAAAATTGCAATTTTAGATGCATTTTGGCAATACTGTACTATTAGTAATGCGCTGATCTAAGCAACAATTCGTACCGATACGTCTAAACTCCTCCATTTCTTCGCCTAAATGGTTAGACAACTGTCAAAACATGAGGCTATTGCTGAAAATAACGAAAGCAGCAACAGCTTCCACCTCGTCCGTTAAGAGTAATGTCCTGCAGTTACAGCCGTTACAGTAAGGTAGTCGTACATGTGGTACTCGTACSTACGTACCAGTACACTCAGGGGTCTTGTAGGATAATCCGATTTCGAACTGTCTGTACCGTATCGTACCAACGTACTCCAACTAGTTACGACGTTGATATCGTGAAATCGTAAGTATCACTCGAGAAAAGTTTGTAGATGTGATTTAATCTGCCGCCACAACAAAAGAATCCGAGCTTTTGATGCTGTGSAAGGGTATTTCGACTGGTTCATAGATAATATAAGAGGATGGAAGCATCGCAAACCACTTCTTCGCTTGATGGAAACGGAGAAAAATCGGAACAACTGGCAGGCGAAGAACAGAAACCAAAACCGATCGCTATTTCTCGTGAACTCCAACCCGATGAAAATGCCCGATTTCACGACTGCATAAAAGAAGGTGATTGGGGCAAGTTGAAAAAAATGCTGAAGCGTTACAAACCAAATTACTACATAAAGAAAAGAATAGAAGTAAGAGAAAGGGAAAAGGCGTTGGAAGAATTCAAGTTGCAGCAAGAAGCGCAAGATACGGAAGAAGAAGGAGAAACAAACGAGGAAGACAAGGAAGAATTGTCAAGGTTTCAACGAATCACTCAATATCGACCTTTCAAAAAAAAGGATAGCGATAAATCAAAAGAACTAAAGCCTCCCGGTGACGGAAAAAGCGTCAAAATGGCGAAAAAAGTACTTCCCGAGAATGTTTCAAAAAAAATATTCGTTGATCCAGCCGACATCATTTCTCCATTACTATTGGTAGATTCCGACGGGATGACACCCCTTCACATTGCGTGTATTCGTGAAGCACCCGAAAAATTAATTGTAGAGCTAATAGATGCGGAAAAAAAGGCTACGWCTATTAAAGATAAATCGAACCGACTTCCCCTTCATTACGCCATCCAAACTTGGCAATATGATCACATCATCGAACGAATGGTCAAGGSATACCCGAATGGATTRAAAACAAAAGATGACAAAGGGCAAACGCCTCTTGGGTTGGCAGTCAAACTTGCTAGAGAAGGAAAGGAGGYAGAGGAAGAAGACGAGGAAAGAATCGTCGAGGATCCAGATGATCCGTTTTTGTGGATTTCTCCAACGTCCCCAGAAGAAAAAGATTGGCAGTTCCAGCAACTGAAAACATGGGCGAAGGTCAATTGYTTGCTTCGAGAATTGATAAATCGACAAAGAGCTGTCCTTCCTAGTGAGCACGGACTCATTTTAGAAGCGCTGGAGGGTGGAGCCGATCCAAACACAATCATTCGCTTCATATCTACTACGGATAGATACTTGATGTTGGACGACGAGCTGGCTTGGACAGCAATTGGCTTGTGTGTGGAACGCCATTACAAAGCTGACACTCTCGAGTATCTGATGGAAAATTGTCGGGAYAGGACAACGGTCATAACGGATGTAGTGCAGAAGGTATTAAAGAACCACTACCTWATCGGTTGTTATCCTTTGCGAGAAGGAATGGTGCCCTTTGGAAAGCGTGTGATTGACTGGTCGAAAAAGTATGATCGAGAAGAAAGAAAAAGAAAGAAAAAGGAAAAGAAGAAAAAGAAAAAGAAAGTGGACGAAAGTAAAAAGAAGAGTGTTCGCTTTCAGGATGAATCAGAGGAGGCAGAAGAGGATGAGGATGACAAGAAAAAAAAATGGGAGGGAATGAAAAAGGCGTGCAAAGACTGGTGGGAAATATTGAATCATCTCCTTTTTTACCGCGCATATGGTCGAGATTACAAAATCCATGTGAAACCGAAAACATTCCATTTACTTCATGCAGCATTATCTGTCCCTATGACCTCTCCTTCCCTCGTTCACCTGCTACTAATAGTTTATCCCCAAGCAATCAAAGAAAGGTGCCCCTTTTTCAAAGCATTGCCAGTCCATATTGCGAGTACGAGATGGCGCTACAATATTATATATGATGATGTTGATATCTCATCATTGCAACAAGTCCTTCTTCTTATGTACGATTTAGATCCCGAACAACTTCATCGGCGCTTTAAAGGGAGTCTTCCGATTCACTTGGCTCTCTCTAGTGGTCAATCCTGGGATTTTATCAAACCGCAATTGGACAGGAATAGTAACGTGTTGGGAATGAGGGATGCTCACTCCAAGTTATATCCCTTTCAGATAGCAGCCCTGGAAACTAGTTTCAAAAACATTCAGCTACTTATGAGATGCAGATTCAACCCTACTCTTTGGAGAGAGATGTCTGTTATTGAAAGAAAAATTCAATACCAAAAGATAATCGATCGGCACGAAAAGAGGCAATTGACAACAATTTTTGAGCTATTACGAATGTACCCCAATGCAATTGAAAATATTCCGATCTGCAAAACATCCTCTTCTATGTCACAAAGCTTGACATCGCTTACGGATCTCTCAAAGCACTATTTATCATGGGTTTATGGACGAAGCCCCAAGGGAGAGTTTAGAGTTCGTTACAATAATTTGATGTTGTTGAGAAATTCCATTATTCAGGCGGAAGTTTTTCCAGAACTTCAAGAATGGTGGGAGGGACTGACGGAATGTATATGGAGGGACTCGCATGGAGATATACCAAGAGAAAATGAATATCTCCTTCACGCAGCACTTTACAACTGCGAGACTCCGCCCATTGTGACGGAACTTTTAATTCAGCTGTTTCCTTCGTCAACAGCGCAACCTATACCGGGTACATCTACATTTCCCCTTCATATCGCAGCGGGTACCACGGCATACCACCGACAACTATTCGAAATTCCATACGGTATGAATAATCTTCTTCTAGTGCTTAAAGCGAACAAAGATGCTACTCGGATTAAATCCAACGGAAGGCTTCCTCTTCACATCTGTCTTGCGAGAGGAAAGAGTTGGAAAGAGGTACAGCCACTTGTCATGGTGTATCCATATAGTCTGAAGATTAAAGACATGCAAACCGGTTTAGTTCCAGCTGAGCTCAGGGCATCTTTTAAACTAAATACGAAAGAAAATGCAGCATGGACCTCTTCCTTCACCGAGAAACAAATGAAAACGTTTAACTTCCACAAACTATCCGCAGAAGACAAGGCCAAAGCACTGGTTAGAACTCGCAAGAGAAAAGAAACAAACACATTGACATGTATATTTGAGCTTACGCGAGAGTCCGTTCGGACGTTTGGATTTACGGCTCATAACGATAATGATTCCGTGACTAGTCTTAATTCATTCAATCATGATGGGTACGAGGTGGAAGAAGACCCGGCAGAATGGGAATTGAATCCAGAGATGTATTTTGCGGAAAAAGAAAGTGTCCGTAACTTACTGGACTCATTCAGAAGCAATGCAAAATCTTTGGGTTCTTTCAACGATATTGACCCAGATCTCTTTCCGTCAGACGAACAGTCGAAAAATTGGGGTGGGAAGGAATCGTCCGCACCAGCACGGAATTTGGTAAGAATGGGGACAAAAATGTCTCTGTACAGTAGTGGTGACTTCAGTCAACTCGATCTAGACTCTCTCAGTCAAGACCAATAAAACACGGGCTTCGAATTCTAGTGACTATGGTGAAAAGTCAATACTACAGTAGCAACAGGGGTAAGGAGGTACAAAGATTTGGGGCCATTGGGAACAGCCATGTTACTGCGAAAGCTATGAATTATTTTCATTCACCTTCAATAGTTTTTAAAATTTTACTTGGAATGCTTACAAAATATTTATAACTGTAAAATAGCCCAATCAAAACTGTCTGGAAAGGAAGAATGGGAAAGGGCCAAAATGGATTTTGATGTTTTGTTTGTCATGATTTGCAAGCTTGGGTCGAGCTAGTTATGATTCTGTGGTGTTTTGACAGGAGAGTGAGAGCAGAATAATGCATAAGTGCTTTCATTGCTTTGACATGCAAATTTGGCATCCTGTGCACCACAAAAAGAGCATTCTATGTCATCCAGGAATTCTATCCAACACCAAGGTGGCAACAATCATGAGTTTTTGGATATCAATGACATCAATGGAAAGAATGCAGTGGGTACACTTTCAGCTTTATGCATTTTCTAATCAGCACTCAAGCTCTTACTTGGCAGGGGAAAATACAAAAATGATACATGAAAAAGATGTTTATCATCCAAGAACAAAATATCATGTTTAACCTTGTGAACTAAGAGAGGCATTACTCTGACAACAATTTTGATCATGGTCAAAATACTTTTACTTTGTTAACAGTCTTCTTGCTCCCAACTTTCACCAACTTACTCCACCATTGCCCCAACCATCCTCACCCCACAAGCTAGCGCCACTGCTAGTATCTTTCATCCCAAGATCTCCCAMGTTGATGTCATCTTCATGGACCACCAGCTTCATCCAACCTTAACAAATGAGATCAACCCATGCCTATGGCATCAGCTTTGACTTTGAAGACCTTTTCTCTCCAGATGGCTCTACCTTCCTTGACCAACACCAAGTGACAAACATGATCTTTCATAAGCTTATCTGATGCATCAAGCAGAAAGCAGTCAACACCACCAACACAGCTCATATCAATGGGAGCAGCACCAACAAAAAACCCTAACACGGCAGTTCGCAGTGCTCATTACTATAACATCCCCAGTAGTAAGTAGTAATAGAGGTTTTCCAGTAGTAAGCACTAATAGTAATTCTCAATTAGTAACCGATGAATTTACCTCTCCAGTAGTAAGGACCAATAATAGAAATATTTAAGGACTCGGTAGTTTTTGTGTGTGGAGGGGGGGGAGAGGGGAAATGGAGATGGGAGAATAAAAAAAAATCGAATTATTGTCAAACGAAACGTCTGCGGGGTCTATTTAGTCGTTCTGCTATGCCACTGGATGACGACAGTTTGACTTCCACTTGAAGCGAACCGCAAAAGACCTAAGTAATTTTTATCAAAAAAATTGAAATCGACATGGTTCTAGGCGAACAAAATTGTTCACCAAGTAAATTACCGTACGGTACGTACATAATAAAGCTTAGGCACTTCAATTGTGTCCCTTTGTCCGGTAAAGAAAATATAACTATTGCCTTGATACTGGTGATATCATTTAAATGTTAAAATAAATAATATTTCCATTCTGAGAAAAACCTCTACGAACAATCGGATTATTTTTTTTAATTCTGTAATGACTGTTTGGAAACGGTTTAGGTTCGGTTTTTTTATCATTTCTGTACTTRATGGGATCGTTTGTATATTTTGTAAGTACGAAGTACCGTACTGTACGGCGTTTCCATTTCAAAATACGATACAGTAATTCGTTCATTACTTCTAGTTATTTACTGGCGCTCTCTCGCTCGTATTTCATATCACCAAAATCAGAAACCAGATTTAAGATCACGTAGATTAGTACTGTTACAACTACCGTACTATTGGTTTGCTATACTAGAAGCTCTAAGTGGTCGGCTTCCAAGTTGCGATCGAAGCAAGAGCTGTGGAAACCTTGCGTCGTTATCTCTCCCCAAAAAGATTATGCTACGCGATGGAATCAGCCATGTTCCAAATGCCAAAAGCAGTGTCGAACTCCTTCGAGAAAGCCTTTTGAAAGAAAGTAGAAGAGCCATCCAAAGGAAAAGGGAGAGTGCTAAATTTCTTAGTTCATTGTTAGACACGAACGAAACATCGCCATCGACATCGCCATCGCCATCGCCATCGCCATCGCCATCGCCATCGACATCGCCATCGACATCGACATCGACATCGACATCGACATCGACATCGACATCGACATCGACATCAACATCAACATTAACATTAATATCAACATTAACATCAACGTCTTCACAAACAATAAGATCAGCATCAGACTCTGGTGCTCAGAAAGAAAACTTCGAAACCAAGAGTCGGAGTTCGAAAGTTTCTAAACGCTCTTCAGAAACCAAACTAATGAATTCTTTCAACCAGTTTTTGAGCACAGAAACAGCCAAATCTTGCAGTCATTCCAACCGACCATTAGCATCTGGTACAATGGAGGAGAACACAGAAAAYTGCGACAGTGTCGCTCCAGATCAACAGTCCGCAGAAGTAACTGACAGTAATTCGGCTTCAAGGTCGTACCGATCAAGGGCTCGGTACCACTCGTCAAGGTATACCGCAACATTGTATTCTACTAAAGTATCCTACAAGCCCAAAAAAGACTTTCCAGAAAAGAAGGAAGCAGAGTACGAGTCTTCAAAAACTCAGTCTAGATGGCGGAAAACAGTAGAAAGCATCATGAGGACGAGATCGAAAAGCCGATCACGGGTGGAGAGCGAAAGTCCATCAAGATYGCAAAGTACCTCACGTTCAAAAAAGACCAATAGTCGACGACGACTAAAAAGCGAAAGTCCATCAAGATCGCGAAGTTTTTTAGGTTCGAACATTATCACTCATAGTCGTCGACTGAAAAGTGAGAGCCCAACACGGTCTAATACTACTTCTGGTTCGGAAAAGACCAGTAGTCGACGAAGACTGAAAAGTAATAGTGAAACTAGGTCTGAAAGTCCTTCGGAATCAAATGCTAATAGTCGACGAAGACTGAAAAGTGAAAGTCCAACAAGGCATGAAAGTACTCTGGGTCCAAAAGAGTACAATAGTCGACGACTGAAAAGTGAAAGCCCAACAAGGCATGAAAGTACTCTGGGTCCAAAAGAGTACAATAGTCGACGAAGACTGAAAAGTGAAAGTCCAACAAGGTCTGAAAGAACTTTAGTTTCGAAAAGAACGAAAAGTCGGCGACGGATGAGAAGCGAAACTCGACCTGGACATAAAACTAGTACTTCTTCTTCTAGGGGGGGGGAAGATAAAGAGAAACAAACTGATGGGATCAAAGAAATTGAATATGAGACTTTTTTGGATTGCTCTAATTCCTTCAACTCACCCGTCGTGAAATCTACCAATCCAAGAAATATTGAATCTGAAAAAAATGAATTACAGTGGCATTATGCCATCATGAGACACGATTGGGATGACATCAAAACAATGCTCCAGTCATACGACCACACAAAATACCGCAAGCAAACGAACACGACTCAACAAAGATCAAGAATTTTAAATATTGTCAGGGACAAAACAAAAATCATTCAACGATCGCCTCTATTAAATGTGGATAGAAAGGGACGAACTCCATTGCATTGGGCATGTAAAGAGAACATGCCGTACTGGCTTCTGTTTCGCCTCTTATTTGTAGYGCGAACAGCAGCGTCTATTCAAGATAATGATGGAAGGTATCCATTGCATTTGGCAGTAATTAACTGCCCAGACAATAAGATTTTGGATCGAGTTATTCGTGCTTATCCCGATGCTTTGTGTTCTCCAGATTATCTGAATCACATACCTATGCAGTATGCCCTTCTCAAAGCAGATCGATCTCGACAAGGGAACAAATGCATAACTTGGAACCATCCCATTACGAAAGAGCATGCCTCAGACCAACTTAGCCAGACAGAGTCCTTCGAGACTGTTCTATTTATTCTACAGACTATGGCATCGAGACGTAAAGGTTTCACCATGTCTCTCCAAAACAGTTGTCTAATTCCATCAATACGACTCTTTGCTCCACCCCCAGTGGTTCATCTAATCGTGAGCCTTAGCATGAAAATTTTAGAAAAGGATCAAACAATGTCAGAGGATCTTTTAGGTTTGGTGTTTCGATTGAAGTATCCGCTAAACGTCGTCAACAAAGTGCTTGAGATAACTTCTAAGATTATTCCTAGATCCCATTTCTTAAAAGTGATCCGGCAAGAATTGAATGATCACTTTAATGAGGGTTGGGTCGAATTCTCAATCGAAGGTTCGCAAGGAGAGGATATTTGTGATTGCTTTGCACAGCAGTTTGCGAACAGCATTCGAAGCGATTCTCAAGTTGAAGAAGTTGAAACTTATTCCGCTTACCAAGAATGGGGGGAAAAACTTCGCTATCTGATAACGAAGTCTAGCAATCAACCAAGTGGTAGCAAGAACGACACTTTATTGCACACAGCATTAAGCAATCCCACATCACAACCCTCAATGATCGAATATATATGCCGACTGAATCCGGGTGCAAGATATAAGATTGACAATTCTACTGGCGCATTGCCAATTCATATTGCTTGCATGTACTGGCATCCAGAAAAATATGGGGTCGGGGATGAAATATCTCGGAGAAAAGCTTTCAATTTGTTGTTGGCTGGAGACTTCGACTTAGTGCGCAGAAGTTGCAATGGGCGTATTCCTCTCCACTATGCCATTCTACACGGGAAACCGTTATCGTTTGTCCAAAGTCTTCTGAGTCTTGACTTGACGACAACTTTGATTCCTGATCCCGTAACCAAGCTGCTTCCATTCCAACTGGCTTCAATGTCAAATGAATACGAAGACTACATACTCGCAAACACGGCATCGTCTCGTTCTCTGCGCTTGGATTCGAAATTAGGAACGCAGCAMACGAATGTGATTTATCATTTGTTACGGGCAAACCCCCGCGTTCTTTCTTCCTCAACCAAAAAGAATGATCCAGAATCAGAAATGAATCCGTTAACTCGACATGTACTCAAATTGTGTTATGACATTGTGCCATGTGGTGATAAAATGGTATGGAATTTGAACTTTAAACGCAAGTATATGGTGCGCCACGCCATCGAAAAACATCATATGCCAGATGAAATGAAAGAGTGGTTTATGACTCTTGAGGAGCTGATATGGGACGCCTGCGACGCACGAAAAGGGCCAGATTCGGATTCAACAACCAAGTTGAGACGCTCAGACGATAACTTTTTGTATGCTACTCTTTTGAATAGTACCGATATTCCTCATTTTGCGATCGAGCTCATCCTCGAATTCTTTCCCCCAACAGCACATCGAAATGGCCATGTTGCGACACTTCCGCTACACACAGCTGCACAGGTAACACCCTATCTTCCTCTACCATTCGAGCAGCCGCTTTCCATGGACTCAACCCTAGAAATGATCACTTTAATGGACAGCTCTTCGTTGATTCTCAAGACAAAGGATGGGAGACTACCTATTCATCTGGCAATTGCATCTGGCAAGGGATGGAAGCATTTGAGAGCAATGGTTGCCATAGCACCCCAAACTTTGTTGATTCGYGACCCATCTTCCGGTCTATTCCCTTACCAGATGGCTGCGTGCGGTAGTGCAATAATTCCCAATAACAGGGAAATTAGTGCGAAAATGGCTGATCCCAAGCTAAAGAGTGTTAGTACGAAAGATAATGCTCAGCTGTTGCGTTCCCTGTGTAACAARCACGAGCTAGAAAAGTTGAACAGCATCTTCCATATGATTCGAGCCAAACCATCTGTGATTGGYATGTGATAATATGCTTTCAGACATGAAACAACAGATTCAAGAATTTAACTTCTGCTGTAGAATATTGTATGGAAAGAAGATAGAAAGTTGGGCGCTCGTTATGCTGATTGAAGTTTAATCAGCCCCTTGATTGGATTTCACACTCTGGTGTCAGAGTGTACGCCTATTAACAGGGAACCAGATCCCATCTTGTCTAGTTTCTTGCTACTACTAGTRTTTTGCAAGTGATTTTCAGCTCAGAAAAGCTCCAACATTAGACAGAGCTTGGAAAAGTTGGAGCTAGCTCTGAAAGCGTCAAAGAAGCTAGATCTCATCACTCTGTGTTATTTGCTAGCATTTTCAYGATGCTTCCCCCATATGACCATATGATCAATAGATAGCAAGACTTTGGTGTGACCGTATTCACATAGTAACACAAAACTACTACTACTACCAATAATGACATACTAGGCCTGCTGAGATTGTCTCCCTGGCGCAGGGATTTTATCACAAAACAGTGTAATTCTCAGTTAGCTCAAAAGAATTCTTGAAGTAATACTACTAGTAAGTTGTGCTACAAGTTTGAACTTTGATTGTCTCTACTTTGCCATGAACAAGTGAATAGATACATAATGGTGTTTTGAATAAAATGATAGCATAGTACTAAAACTAAAAGCGTCTTAAGGAAGCTACTAGCTAAAGTGGTGGTAATAGGAACTACAACATTACTGATAGTGCAAATAGCTACACAGTACTAGTACTACTACAGGGTAGTGCTCCCACTGATCATAGCACTTGTTCCTTGTTCCATTTCATAGTGCTGTTAGGCAGTTGGGACAGCCAAAAAATCTTTGTTGAAATTTCTTACCCTACTAACTTGTCTACTAGTACTAGTATTACTAGTAGTTTTGATAGGCATACCAAGAATTAGACAACACCATTGTTGGGTTTTGTCAGTACAATTCAGACTAGAGCATAAATATTTGTCTTACACTTATCCTGGAGATGCAACTAGTACTAGTACAACACTATTAGGTAGTTTTTCAAATTTAACATGTTCATTTCTTAGATTTGGTTTGTGCAGTTCTCAAAAGGTTCTCACACAAAAACAGTTCACTCTTTCCTCCTTCAAGCAGATGACCCCTGTAAAAATGAAATTGCATCCTTGTAGAAAATTGACACAGGGTTTTCCAGGATTTGCTTCTCACGCATTTTGGCAACCAGTATGCTCAGACTTTCACCACCACCCTATAGAACTGAAAATACCACTAGTACTACCACTACTATGGTCACTACTAGCTAGTAGTAGTATTAGTAATAAGGACAAGTCAATCATTCAGAGGGACAGAAGTATTTTGGTTATTGCTGGTCTACTACTATTTTGTAACTTCCAGTATCAGTAGGTTCCCAACAAACTATTTTTGTCACTGTTGCTGTTGGATAACAAGCAAGGCAGCTGACATAGCCTCTCCTACTAGAGACCTTCTCAACAACAACCAGGACAAGTAGTAGACAATATCCCATAAGGTTGTGCGTTGCTGTCTAACTGTGCTGGTCTAATGTTTTATATTTTGGTTGAGTTTTTTGCAACAAGAACATACCAGAAAACAGGGATCTCACCATAACACCACCAAAAAATGTGCAAAATACCTTCCAGAAGAAACTCAAGATATTATCAGTATCAGCCCTCATTAGATAATGGTAGATGTTTCTTTGTCTTGGTGTGGAAATCTTACTACTACTAGCTATATGAAAATACAGAAGACATATCCTTCAGACCACAAATGAAAGGAGACCCCCTTCAAGAACCCAAGCAGCAGCAACAACAAGAATGTAATCGATCAATTACTAGTACTAGTGCTAATTGAATTTTGTATCATGGTGCTGCCCTTCTTGGTTTTACTATTTGAAAATCATTCCATGTATTAAGCAAGAACTGTAATCAAATTCAGGATTTCCCCCTCTGACTCCTTTTTTGCAACAAAAATAATTTTGAGTCCAAATTATCCACAAGAACACCAATAGAACTAGTATACACAACCTCTATTACTAGTACTACTACTCTACTACTACTGCTGCTACTAGTAGTAGTACTACTACTAGTACTAGCATGACCACCACCAGCAACATCATCATGTTCAGTCCACCCATTCTTAGTTAGTAGACATAATAGCTACTAGTCACCTGATAGCTGTGTTCTTGGTTTTATCAATGGAACCTTTATTGGTGATGTATTTGTTAGTACTGTATTAACTGTCTTTGAAAATTCCCATTGATAAACTTGCCCTTCTATGATGTACTTCGTTTTGACTTTCACATATCTCATCCCAAATTCAAACTCCTCCCCCAAAACTTCTAGTTCATCCATATCCCCTTAATTTCGACTGAATGAAGTACGGTACGGTACTTGTACTGTACTYGTCAAATGCAACTAAAGTTGCACTCCCATTATTGGTGCGCCGGCTACGCCCAAATGTACCACATAGGCCCTAACCCCAAAATCGACCGGTACCATACTTGGTACTACTATTTTTGCAACTGTAATGACTCTTTTGTGTGCAAAATTAACACGCAAAACCGGTACTGCATATTTTCCTGGGGTTGTTGTTTCTTTGCCTCAGAGGTGCATTTTCGTCTGTTGAATACTACATGAAAATGCAACAATGCAACTGAAATCCGGTCATTGGCTGTATTGGATGCATGGAGGTGCAAACTAATAATTTTTGATCACTATTCTGTTGCCTTCTTGTCTTATTACAAAATAMGGAGGATGATGCTGATACGGAGGACGCTTGCTGATATGGAGGATGCTGATACAAACGCTGATACGAGCCGCTAATACGGTATCCGCTGATACGGTATCCGCTGATACGAGTCGCTGATATGATACGAGTCGGCTGATACGAGTCGGCTGATACAAGTCAGCTGATACGAGTTGCTGATACCGAGGTTGCTGATACGAGTCCGCTGATACCAGTCCGCTGATACGAGTCCGCTGATACGAGTCCGCTGATACGAGTCCGCTGATACGAGTCCGCTGATACGAGCTGCTGATACAAGCTGCTAATACGGAGGCTTGCTGATACGGAGGATGATGCTGATACGGAGGAGCTGCTGATACGGAGGACAAGTTGCTGATACGGAGGTTGCTGATACGAGTCGCTGATACGAGTCGCTGATACAAGCCGCTGATATGAGCCACTGAAATGGTGTCCGCTGATACGAGTCCGCTGATACGGAGGCTCGCTGATACGAGTCGCTGATACAAGCCGCTGATATGAGCCACTGAAATGGTGTCCGCTGATACGAGTCCGCTGATACGGAGGCTCGCTGATATGGAGGATGATGCTGATACAGAGGATGATGCTGATACGGAGGACAAGTTGATGATACGGAGGACAAGTTGCTGATACGGAGGTTGCTGATACGAGTCGCTGATACGAGCCGCTGATACAATCCACTGGTACGGTGTCCACTGATACGAGTCCACTGATAGGGACACTCGCTGATACGGAGGCTCACTGATACGGAGGATGCTGATACGGACGCTGATACGTGGTGTTGCTGATACGGAGGATCATGCTGATACGGACGCTGCTAACTACTTGTCCCCCCCCTAAGATCTTAGAAAATATATAATTGTATGTTTCTGTTATTGTCAAGAATTACCTTCATCATTTGTCTTTTTACTATGGAAATTGCCTTATGCTCGATGATGGAAGTAATTCTGCTCAACCGACTTGGCGGATTTTTTGCTTGTACATGATGGATTTTGATACTGTGGTGGTCCGTAGGATATTAGCGAAGTGTACGTACGTAGACTTGTACATGATTTCCTACTGTTGCAAAATTAGTTGCATTATTGATTGGTACCTGCASTGTACTTTACCATACGCACGGGATCTCGAAAGAATGAGAATGGTATTCGCGTATCGCTCCTTATTGTATGTCACCGTAGAAAAGATACCAGTTCTGGTAGTACCATAGCGACAGATGCATTCTTACAAAACTATTCATACTGTATCGATCAGTTCAACGTGTTGTGTGAATTCTTCCGTGTGTACGTACAGTAAAAAGTAAAAAAGTCTTTCTGAGCTTTTTTCGTTCGTATCGTTCCTTGTACGAATAGTAGTACGTACCGGTACTATTCTTTCTGGCTTTCTACAGTAACAGACAACAACTACGACAAACTTGCGAACATATTGTATCTCTTGCTTCGTGTATCTTGGGATCCAGAAATTCAAATTTGTAACGCATCGCAAGACGTCGACCACCAAAACAACTTCAGGAAACAGACCATGGCTCGTTTCTCGGTAGCAACTACGGCACTCTGCCTAGCCCTCGGGGCTCCTTCCTCCCAGGCTTTCACTGGAATTCAATTCCGACCTCTGACSACATCGTCACCTGTTGCCGCCAATGGTTCCAGCTCGGTCTTGCACATGAACCTGTTCGACCGATTCGCTCGCGTGGCGAAGTCAAACCTGAACGATCTCGCAAACAAGCTTGAAGACCCAGAAAAAATCATGGGACAGGCCATCGAAGAAATGCAGGTTAGTTTCTTTCGTTTCTTTTTTGTCAACATTTTGTTTCTCCCATGGGATCCTGGATGTTTGCTGGAGCTGTGCGCTCCCCACTTTCTGCCTTCTTCATTGACATCGACTCAAATATAATGCACCACACCGTAACTGATGCCCCTCTGCGAGAACAGAACGACTTGGTCAAGATTCGCCAAAGTTACGCCGAAGTTACGGCCACCCAGCGTCGTTTGTTGAAACAAAAGGAGCAGTGTGACGCCATGGCCCAGGACTGGTACAAGCGGGCACAGCTGGCTCTCGAAAAGGGCAACGACGAATTGGCTAAAGAAGCACTGACGAGACGCCAGCAGCAAGCCGAAGAGGCCGCCAGTTTGCAGAGCCAAATCGATGGCCAAGCCGATTCTTTGGACAAGCTGTTTGAGGGAATGAAAATGTTGGAGACGAAAATCAGCGAAAACAAGGCCAAGAAGGACCAAATGATTGCCCGAGCCAGAACCGCCCAATCCACCCAAAAGGTGAACGACATGATCTCCGGAGTTACGGGTAAGGCCAGCACGGACGCCTTTGCCCGAATGGAAGAAAAGGTCGAGGCGTTGGAAGCATCCGCGGAAGTTTCTGCCGAAATGGGATCGATAACGGGAAACGCACTCCCTGGATCATCGGGTGCCAGCATGGAAGCTCAGTTCAAGGCACTGGAGGCTGCGAGCGAAGTCGACAACGAACTTGCAAAGATGAAGGGTTTGCTTGCGGCCGAATCATCATCCGAAAGCAGCAAGAAAAGCGATGTCGACGACGAGCTAGAAAAGCTAAAAAGGGATGCCGGGCTTTAAAGGTAGGGTATTGCTTTATCCATCACAACTGCATAACTGGCCTCGTTTCACCCTAGAATTGGCCGTGTGTAGCGTATCTCGGTACGTGACGAACGTTCACATCCTCATCTCTGATCTTTTGACTCGAGGTGTACACGAGAAACTAATATGCTACCGTGCGGCTTCGTACCCATGATCAAAGCCATATTATATCAAAGTTAATAATCTACCGGTAGCCATATTTTATGCAAGTCTAAATTCAATAAGCCGTTCACAACGTACTGCTCAGTGTTTTCTCGCCGATGGAATTTTTCTTCTGTAAATCAGCTTATGGTTTCCACTGCGCTCTCTTCTGCTTCTGGAAGGGGAAAATCGGCAGCCCTCCACGTCGTGTCTTCAAGTTTCGACCGCAACCGTGCTGACTCTATCGTAAGATCCGTCCAGCCCGGTCCGACGTAGTCAAGGTGGCAGCTGACCCCTTGGAATTCCATGTTCCACGCATCGAGTACGTTGTTATTGCATATCATCGACATCGAAAGAGGAATTTTTCCATTCGCCTTGATGTGGAAGACTCCGCTCAGTGGGACCTGAAGCAATCCACTTTTTTGAAAAGCATCCCAGGATAGATTCGAAAATACTTTCATTCCGGCATTCGTCGGTACCATCATTACGTCGTCAACTTTCTCAAAGTTACTCCTTGGTGCTAGCGTCCATATGGCATCCTTCTTCTTGCCATTCGTTGCTTCCTTCGTTGCGCTACCACTCGTTGTGGTTGGATCGCTTTGCTTCTGGAAAACATCCGTCACTTGACCGATGTTCTTAAGTCTTTCTTCCCAATCCGGATAGTACACATCGAAAGTAAAGGCGTACACCTCCGCGGTTATAAAGTTGGCATTGTGTAGTCGTATGTCGGCGCTTATGCTGAATGCCGGTGTGGAGTCGTGGAGTAGGGTAGGATACAGCTTCAAAACCTTAAAGGAGAAGGTAGGAAGGCGTGGATTTGCAACGAAGGCAAGGATTCCAGCGAGAAGAATTCCGAAACCGACCGGAAGGAAGTGGACCATTTTGGTGCTGTGAAGTGCAGTGTTATTGTTGAATATATGTAGGGGCCTCCGATTTTCAAGCAGACAAGTCAGATAATAATACTGAAATACTCCCACGGTACGGTACCTGTACTCGTACACATAACCGATCGAAAATGTTTTGATGAGGAAACAGTTTGAGTACTCGTACGTACCGGTACGTACGTACGTTACAGCGATGAGGATTTCGGATTTCTCCCTACCGATGACGAGTTGTATTCATTTTGTATCATTTTGTATTGCACGAGCAAGAATAAGAGGAAGTACCTGGTACGTAGGAAACGTAAGAGCCTGAACGGCACGATATCTGTTACTGAACCTACGTACGTACGTACTRTACGGCACGAATAGTACAATTCAATTTGGTCCTCAAAATGATTAGGGATCTCAAAATTATGAAGTAAAAATCACAATCCTTGTTGTACGGTACGTACCGTACCTGGTATCGTACGTGTCGAACGTGTTGGGCGAGGGACAGAATCATCAATCGCGTTCGAGACGAAGAGTGTTGCTGGCTTATTTGGTTCAGAAAAAGTGTCTTTCTGGAGGAATGAAGATCTCAGAAAATCTCGAAATTTCAAATTTCGACTAATACTGTAAACTAGGATCAACCGAGGTAGCGTAGATTAGTCTAGCTTAAGACTCCTAGAAGATGATGATAGTCTTGACTTGGTGAGGCGATGCTATTTATCCAATCTCATCTGGAAAAGTTGTTTCCACTCAAACCGAGTAAGAAGCCTCACCTATTATCTCGTAACACGAAAAAGCTCAAAACGCCAACCACCGCAATACCTAAATTTGAGCAATCAACGTACAATTCGACGATGCGCCGGTTGGAAAGCTCTCAAATCACAGACACCACCCTTTGCTTCATAGCGGCTACGCAGTAAATATTTTGAAAGATTGTTACGGAACCGTAAGAGTCACGCATGCTATTCCTAGAAACGTAGATCTATTGAAATGTACGAATCTACCGCCAAATCCAATCAACTCTAAAGAAAAGAGCTCGCAGTATGACACGCTTCGAAATCACAAGTCATTCCAGCTATCCGAACAAATACCGTCGAAGTGTGTTCAGAATTTTTCTATTCTCACTTTAGAGCAACTATTCCGAACTTAACAGGACAGATTACACAAGGCTGGAAACGCTCAATCTGGTCTGAAACATCGTAGTTGGGATCTTTTGCTGCTGGTACATTTACTATAACTCGGCACTCTTGCTATCTTCTTTTCTTTGTTTCTGTAAACGATTACGTTCGATCCTTGCMTTTCTTTCTTGTTCTCTCCTTTCGAACTCGGGATTTTTCCCAACCCCAAACATTGGACAATTTTTGCAACCTCTCGAGGGACAGTTATTGCATCGAGAGCCAGCATTACTAGAGATTTCTTGTGGTGCTGTGTAGGCACTGGCACCTACGGTGACCTTGTTGCCCGCTTCGCCCTGGTTGACGAACCGAGCTTTGAAATTGATGTTTTGTCCACGGCGATCCGTTTCTAGTCTGACGAGTTCATCGTACGAGACGTAATGGATGCAATCTACCGGGCATGTTTCGATAGCACATGCAATAGTTTCATCATCATCGCCCCACTGGTTGAAGACCCGCGCCCTACCGTGTTCGTCTTCCATGAAAAACGTCGACTGTGCGATCATGGCGCAGTTGGTGCAGCCAATACAAGTGTGTTCATCTACATAGACCATTTGCTSACGAATAGATTCTCCCGAATCAGGATCTCTTTCCACTCTCGTGTGCGATTCAACGGTGTTCCAGTCGTCTTCCTCCTCGTCAAAATCATACAACTCCTTTCTGTACTCCTTCATACCAGCTATTTCGTCTTTTGTTTCGAGGGAATCGTCCACTTCAATATCAAATGTGTTTTTAATTGTCTCACCATCAAAACCCCATTCCTGCATTTGACGGGCCTTGTCAGCACGCTCGTTGTCTCTCTGGTTGAATTCTATTTCTTCTGCCGATATGGCAGCCAATGTGTCCAGCCATAGCTCGGAGTCATCCTGGAGTTCGTCGTCGTCGTTTTCGCTGTCATTTTTCGAATCAGTGACTTCACCTTCCACTTCGGACGATTCAAACGTCGCCCAGAAGCTACCATCGTTTTTTCGCGCTAAAGTGTCTTCCCAATCAACTATTCCGTCGATATTCGAGGATTGCCACTTATTAGAATCATTGTCCCCATCGCTCCAATCAGATGACATTTGCAAACCAGTTCGGAAGGAGGACAGTGGTTCGGGAGTCTTCCAGCGAGCACGATTGTTTCCTGAAGCAAACGAGAAGGAGGTACTAAAGGGAAGCGAAGACAGTAAAACCATCATCGAATGCATTGTAATTAAAGCGACAGGCACCGCATTTCTTCGTCTTTTTTTGGAAACCAACATGAGCGAATTATTGCATTTCGACACGGTATTCATAACAATTTTTCCTATTTTCTTTCCTTATGTCCTCCGAAAATATCACCCACTTTGAAGACGAAAGACACTCAAATTTATTGTTTCTGATCGTTTTCCTACTTAGATTTTGCGAGATACCTTTCTCACCCGACGAAGGTGATATTAGGAACGAATGCTACTAACAAAGTGAAGACTAGCGGTACTATTATTTCTTCAACGAACACATTGCACTACCATGTGACGACGGCGATTCAACGAAGTTCCGATAAGGAGAAAAGTCGAGATCGTGCTCGTCGGAGCAGAAAAATTCAGATGACGTGTCACATGATTAATTAAACTTCGATGTAAACAATCATATGATTGGTATCTACTATCATACTGAGTAGAGCTACTACGCGTTTCGTAACAATTGAATACGGCCACGCGAGCGCGCAAGTGCTCTTGAATTAAGACTTAAAGCGTTAAAACAAAGTTATCAACTTTGAATCCAAGTTGTCAACTTGCAGCGCAAGTTGCCAACTATGCTAGGTAGGTGTACGTAGAATGAGTACTAGCCCCGCATCGTGTCACGCTGGCTGGCCAGCAGCTGATCCAGCTGCTCAGCAGCGAGGAGCAAAATGGATCTATTTGGATGGATCCTAGTACAAATTGCACAAATCTGTGTAGAAAATCCTGTAGAAAATCGTGGATCAAGGGRGAAGCCTTGCCATTTTGCTCAAAATGGAAGGGTTTTGTCTCCGGGTACAAAATTGTACTGTGTCCTACTGTGGTTGACCTGAAAACTTCCCTCCAGCACGCTGATATACTACTGCGTGCGTGCTAATTTAGCGTGCTAATTAGCATGCTAAACTGTTCTTTTCATTATATCGAAAAAACATGGTTGGGAGCAACCGACCATGGGAATTGCTCCATTTCAAGCACTTCCACTCAATCTTATACACTGTACTTGGTATCAATCGATAGCTCTCTTCCATTGTCGATTGAACAAGCCTTGAACTGTAGCAAACAAGCAAGTGTAACAGATTTTATAGTGTGTTCAGTGTAGCTTCTTTTTCACGATGACTGCTTCTTCCGACGTCGGCAATCACCATGCCTATTGATCCAGCAGATAAGGTAGCAAAGATCAGAGCTGGTGCTGGTCTTTCTAGATTAACACAAGAAAGAAGAGCTGAGAGGCCTCATCCTTCTAGGGGAGGGAGTGAAGGCTATCCTGTCTTCTTTAGGGAACAGGAACTGGAAAGGAAGGCTGCTGGTCTTCCTACTTCTGCTAGTCAGCCTTCACTTTCAAGATGGAGTAGACGCCTTAATCCATACAGGAAGACAGGCAACAGAGACCAAAGCAAGCTGGTTGGACCAGACCTCTACCTCCTTACCATTGGTTTGACTATCAATCCTTCTGCCAGCTTTGATGAGTTGGCAACATTCATTTATAATGAGGGGGGAGGGATCTATTTACGTRTAGATATCTCCAGGAGACTACATGGAATGGAGGTGACAAGGAAGAGGAAATCCACAGAAGCCTATCAAGCGTTCACCCCCAGGAACTTGATAAGATGTGAGTTCTTTTGGACGCATCCCTTTCCCCTTGGAGTAGTGGGAATACCAAGGAGGAAGTTCATTGATGTGGATGAGTTTGCTTTCAATATGCAAAGGACCAACTGCAGGTATGGATGGGCAATCAAAAGCAGGAGGGCTAGAACCCCTGGACGCTACGAGAGGACTGAGAAGCTGACTGTATTGCTGGCTATTGAGTCAGGGGATCCCCGGCTTCCTCCAGAGACCAGGGGAAGCGTCGCCAATCCAAGGAGATGGATTGAGGTCCTTAGGACAGCAGGGACAACAGCTTGGAGCTTTGCTCAGTTTTTTGATGAGATCTGCACTGATATTGAGCAGAATCCAGCCCCAGGGGACACRGATTCCCACCGCGTCTTCCTTTGGGACAATCTTAGTGCTCATCTCACTGGTGTTGTGGCTCAAACCCTTCATGATAGACCAGAAGGGGGGGGACCCGCTTTGTATCTATTCCTAGGCCTCCTTACCAACCCAAGTATGGTCCAATTGAGTACAAGATCTGTGATCTGATTGGGGCTGTAAGCAAGATGACAGAGCCTCACTGGACCACTGCTGATATGGAACAATCACTTAGGACAGAGGCATTTAGATCATTGGGTCCTTTTGATTCAACCTTTGATCATTGTGGATATACTGTGTATGGCGTGTATCAGCCCAGGAGATATTATTGAAGAAGCAACAACAGCAACGCGTTGGTCTCCAGCAAGCGCGCGGATGCAGTGAGCAGGTGCAATGGACTGGAGCAATCCCCTGGAGCGTGGCGTGCTGGCGTGGCAACTCATCCTGGGTCTATGGAAACTGAATCCTACTGGAGAGGCTTGGATTCCAGTCCCCTGGAGCAGCTTCCTCGGATGCTCAATCGATTCGGATGATGGATTGACTAGATGGATTGAATTACAGTTGGTTGAATCGATTGACCAGCATACATAAGCTTAAGAGGGATGGATCCAACGCAAGATCCGTCCCTGTCTATCTACAGCAGTACTATTTGTATACAGCTTATCTTTAGTAGGAATCATAGCTACCAAGAGTAGTTGCAATAGACTTGAGCAATACCCCAAGGACCAGCTCGCTGGTCCATTGAGTCAGCCTAGGCCTACAGTTTTAGAATATACTGTAGCGCGTCTAGAATATAGTCAGTTTACTAATTCGTCTCTATACTATTACATTAGTAGTACTACCTCAACAAGGAGGTACTTGGTGTTCTATCAACAGCAACCACAGGGATTACAACAGCACGCGCAAGCTGCTCTGTTTGTACAAAAGAGACAGCAAGAGGGCATCCTAATGGTGGAGAAACAGGAGGAAAAGAACCACCATTAGAGGGTTGATGCACTCAGCGAATCGATGCTTTCAGTATTCAGCATCCATAGGAAGACAAGATGAGCCAGCGGCAATCGATCAATCACTGTCTCCATAGTCAAAACCAGTAGTGCTCTGGCTACTGGGCAAGCCACCAGGACTGCTAGTCTTCTTGCTTGCAACAACTGACGCCTTCTTTACAGCAGCAACAACAGGCTTGCTCAATGCAGAACGCTTGACAACACGCTTGAGGCCCAAGCCCCAGCCTGCTGCTGGGCCTTTCAAGCCAGTGCTTCCTGCAGCTGACGAGCGCTTGTTCACAGGGCGATTCAAACTACCAGTGTTTGAAGCAGCAGTATCCTGCTCAYGACGCTCCACATACTCTGCCAAGGAACCAGTAGCCTCCTCCACATTGGGACAAACATTCTCCATGTCTTGCGCTCTCTTCTTCAGTGCCATAGCCTCTGCACTAGTGTTCTCAGCAGTGAGCTGCTCAGACAGCAGATCCAGGGCCTTTTGCTTGGAAGCAGAATGAGTACCACGAAATGACTGCTTGACAGATTCCTTCCTGATCTTCCTTGCAAAGGATGGAGTAGCTGCAACAGCCGAGCCCTTGTTCTTGCGACGCTTGGGCAAAGGACCAGGAAGCTTGAACTCAGACTTCACCACCACTGGTTTGATATCCTGCTGGATCTTGCCTGTGCTGTAGTAGTTGGAGAGGAAGCCCGAGCTTTCACTGTCACTACTAAGAATACTGATAGGATCCAAGCTGGAGGACCCTTTGGTGCTGTAGGATCGCTTGGTAGATACTGTAGAAACAGGAGCTGGTGGAGGCATCGCTGCTGCTACTGGAGGTGGCATTGCAGCTGCTCCAACTGCAGGCCGAGGACGCACAGCACTACTACCACTAGCAGCCGCGAGCTTAGAGGCAAGCGTATTCAAAGGTCGTGGTGTGGTAGACACACCTAGCCTATTCCTATGAAATCGAGCGTCCTGATGGTTGAATGTAGCAGGTCCGCATCTCACACCACCAGTACTGGGACGAGCCTGCGGCTGTTGTTGGGGAGCAACGCGGGCATGTTGTTGAGGCTGCTTCSGTGGCTGTTGCTGTTGCAATTCCCTTGCATTCGGAATACCGAATCCCCTTGGTGCTGCTGGATTGGGATTTGCTCCAGTCCTCCCCTTCCTAAGAGCATGAATCGATACACCAGTCTTGGTCTGAGTCCCCATTGGTCCATACTCTTTCAAAGCATCCCTCATGGTCAAGTTCCCCTGGATACTGTCCTCAGTAAGCAACCTACTCCCTGCATACCCATAAGCATCCTGAACATTCCCTGGATCATCCACAGCACGCCCTGTTTCTTGTCCTGCATSGATGGCACCACTCTGCAGTGTGGATACAACAAGATGCTCAAAGAGCTGGGGATAGTTACTAGCCGGTTGCTCAGTCTGTAGCCGGTTAGTTGCCTCCGTATCAGCTTGAAAAGCAGCCTTGTGCAAGTCCTGTCTATTGAAGAGGATAGAGCAGCAGCTATTGCAGGTAGGACACGAGCAGGTTGGCTTTCCATCAGCATCGCGCGTGAGGTATTTGCTAGTTCCTGCAGCCTTTCGACATTCTGGACAGTTCCCTCCATCTGCTTGGTACTTGCAATGGATCTTGTAGGCCCAGCATCCAAGCAGCTGTCCTTTAGAAGTTGGCTACTTTGGCTTCTTCCCCTCCCCAGTCCTCTCATACTCCTCCATCTCGTGGGTGTACTTCTCAAAGGCCTCTTGGTTCTTTTGGTTCACTTCATCCATCGACTCGACTGGCATGATGCAAGCAATACCTCCACACTTAGGGCAAGCAAAAGACTCAGCCTTGGATGGATCAAAGGGAATCTTGTCCTGCTTCCTTTTGCCATCCCTTTGTTGCTTGATGGAAGATCCTTTGTTCAGCTTTTCAATGGCTTCATCCTGTTGCTTGTCCACGGCTTGTTTCACAGTTGCATCATTGCTGCTCCTGGATCTGCTGGCATGTTGCTGGATGCTTGGAGTAGGCAAATCCAACCCCTTCCTCATCTCCATTGCAACATAGATTGAAGCAAGGATGGAAGAAGCATAGTGAGACCTCCAGGCCTTCTCTTGTTTGCTCTTGCCTAGGCCGGCAGAGACAATATCAGTATGGAGGAGGAGCATCTCTTTTCTAAGGGCCTTGGCTTGATTGCCTGGGAAGAGTGCTTCAACATCCCCTTCGGTGATTGACTGGATGGCGCGAAGATGCTGCTTCTTCTTCACCAGGGGAAGGAACTTTTTCCTCTCCAGAGCAGTATAGGCTGCTTGATAGAGTGGATTGGTTTGCGTGAGTGGAAGGCTGGGGACAGGGGACCCTGAGGTTCTCTTGTTGTTGTTGCTCATACTGCTGACATCGGAAAAAAGAAGCAGTTGTCGTGAAAAAGAAGCTA